AATGCAGAACCCGGCAGCTTGGAGCAGAAAAGTGAACGGACTATGCGTTAATCCAGGCCATCATGTCTGCCCGGAGGGGAAAGGGTGTTGCTCCCTTCTGCCCTCCTCCCTCTGGAAAGAAAGATGGCGGCCGCAAGTGGAGCCTTGTGGACAGCAGGTATGAGCCAGGGGTGTGGGGGCGACTAAAACCTCATGGGAAGGGGGGCGTTCCGATCCGTCCTTCACGCCCTACCGAGGTCACCAGTTGCCCCCCACAAGCGGCTCTCCAGCATGGCCACAGCCCCAGAAGCACAAGGACTTAATGCAGAACCCAGCAGCTTGGAGCAGAAAAGTGAAAGGACTATGCGTTAATCCAGGCCATCATGTCTGCCCGGAGGGGAAAGGGTTTTGCCCCATTCGCTCTCTCTTCTCTGGAAAGAAGGATGGCGGCCCCATGGGAGCCTTGTGGACAGCAGGTATGAGCCGGGGGTGTGGGGGTGACTAAAACCTCATGGGAAGGGGGGCGTTCCGGTCCGTCCTTCACGCCCTACAGAGGTCACCATTTGCCCCCCGTGAGTGGCTCTCCAGCACAGCCATGGCCCCAGAAGCACAAGGACTTAATGCAGAACCCGGCAGCTTGGAGCAGAAAAGTGAAAGGACTATGCGTTAATCCAGGCCATCATGTCTGCCCGGAGGGGAAAGGGTGTTGCTCCCTTCTGCCCTCCTCCCTCTGGAAAGAAAGATGGCGGCCACACGGGAGCCTTGTGGACAGCAGGTATGAGCCGGGGGTGTGGGGGCGACTAAAACCTCATGGGAAGGGGGGCGTTCCGGTCCATCCTTCATGCCCTACCGAGGTCACCAGTTGCCCCCACGAGCGGCTCTCCAGCACAGCCATGGCCCCAGAAGCACAAGGACTTAATGCAGAACCCGGCAGCTTGGAGCAGAAAAGTGAAAGGACTATGCGTTAATCCAGGCCATCATGTCTGCCCGGAGGGGAAAGGGTGTTGCTCCCTTCTGCCCTCCTCCCTCTGGAAAGAAAGATGGCGGCCGCAAGTGGAGCCTTGTGGACAGCAGGTATGAGCCGGGGGTGTGGGGGCGACTAAAACCTCATGGGAAGGGGGGCGTTTCGGTCCGCCCTTCACGCCCTACCGAGGCCACCAGTTGCCCCCCACGAGCGGCTCTCCAGCACGGCCATGACTCCAGAGCACAGAAACCAATTTCTTAACTATCTGACTTTCAGTAGAAATACTTCCAGAGTCAATAAGTAAAATAGCAGAAATCCAAAACCAACATTTAATTCTTGAACCCAGCTGTAGAAAGCAAATCACTTCACAATGCTTTTTCAGCATGTCTGATTTGGGGGGGGGGGGGTAAACTCTAAATAATAGTGGTGAATCTTTTAATGAAACAATGAATCTAATCAAAGCAGATAGAGTGTTAACTAGAATTCATCTGCCTCACAGGGACTGGGAGGGGTGGGGGTGGAGTCTTATTGGGGTTTTTCATGGTAAAAAATAAGTATTGGTAAAGGGAAATGTGTTTGATATTTGCATGACTGAGACCTAAACCTGAAAGCTTTGTAACCGTTCCCACAGTGATTCAATAAATAAATAAATTAAAAAAAAAACTAAAACAAAAAAAATCTCCTGAGTTCATGAATAGATATTATAAGTATTGAGGGGTTGGGTGTGTAGCTCAACAATAGAACACTTACATGTGTGAGACCCTGAATTTGATCCCTAACTTTACAAAATAGATGAAATGGATCTTGATATTCTTCCTTTATCATTTTTTGTTGTTGTATTGTTCTGGGCCATATCCAGTGATGCTCAGAGGCTTTTCCTGGCTCTGCACTCTGGAATCACTCCTTGCAGTGCTTTGGGGACCATATGGGATGCTGGGGATCAAAACAAAGTTAACTACTTGTGTGGCACACGCTTTACCCACTACCCACTGTACTATCACTCCAGCCCCTATGTTATTGACTTTTCTAATACTAAATAATTTTCTATTATTGAAGTCTTGAATTCTGCATTTATTATTTTATATTGATATTCATGAGTGAAGATATTATATAACTTTCATCTTACTAATTTTTGTCAGATATCGGTATCAGTATTATATTTATTCCATAAAAACAATCTGAAGATTTTCTTCTTCATCTTGTCTCCACTACCCGTGGTGTATTCTATATGCCAAAAACAGTAACAATAACGAGTCTCATTCCTCTGACCCTGAAAGAGCCTCCAGTATGGCAGCGTTGGGAAAGATGAATAAGGAGAAACTGCTAAAATCTCAGGACTGGGACAAATGAAGACATTACTGGCACCCACTCCAGTAAATCAATGAACAACAGGATAACAGTGATACAGTGATACAGTGATCTAGTCTCCAAAACATCATTCAAAATATCTGCTTTAGTTGACTTTCCTGGTGAAAGCATACTAGTTTGGTGCTCTTTATAACTTTGTAGTTTCATACAAATTGGTATTTTTTATAATTTTCTAAATAATTTGTATAGAGCTTGTGAGGAAATCTTTTCTGATGTTGAAAATACCTTCTTTGGGGTCAGAGAGATACTTCGTTGGATAGGGTACTTGCCTTGCACAAGGCAACCCAAGTTTTATCCCTGGTACTACGTATGCTTCTCTGAGCCCTCCAGGAATGATCCCTGAATGCAGAGTCAGGAGTAAGCCCTGTGCACCCCTAGGTGTGGTCCCCAACACAAAATAAAATAAAAAGAAATGAAATATCCTTTTTTGTTAAGTGCAACTCTTAATTTCCTGTTTTCTGTGTTTCATCCTTTTCTTGATTGTGTAAATTCCGGACCGGGGCTGGCTGTTGGTAACGGGAGGGCGAAGGAAGAATGAGAACCAAGCTGGTTGCTGATGAGTTTTCGTTTATTCTATCTCTCGTCTCTCCCAGCTCTCTCCAACCCTCTGTGTGTATGTGTCTCTGTCTAACCGCACCATTCTTTCTTCCCGCTGTATCTGTCTTCTCTATCTCTGTGCTGTCTCCGTAACCATCTCTCCTTCTGACTCTGACTCTCCTCTGCTTCTCACTCTCTGGATCTCCTCTGACTCTGTCTCTCTGGATCCCCTCGCTTCTCACTGACTCTCTGGATTCTCGCTCTCCTGGATCCCCGCCTGCTTCTCACTCTTGATTCTCTGGATTCTATCACTTCTGGCTCTCTCTTCCCCCTGCTTCTGGCTCCAACTGCTTCCTGGCTCTCTTTCTCCGCTTCCCCTGACTGGATCCGTATTTTTCTTCCAATCTTACAGTTTTAGTTTATATAGCAGTCACATAGGGTGGTGATACAAAGGTGGGGTTGAACATTAACAAATCAACAAAGAGAGGTAAGGCCACTCCTCCAGGAGATTAACTCAGGGACAAAATCTCATCTAAGGAGATTACTCCAGATTCTAGGAGTTCTGCTCGAGGATTCCATGCAAGGTGTGTTGCTTTCTTCTTTCCTCAGCTAGTAATACACTTAAGTAGTTGTAATAAATTTACTTCTAATATTTATAGCAATGTCATTCTGTATGAGCACAGTAAAAGATATATCAAGCTTTAAGTTTTGTTCTTCCTGAGAACATCTCATTATATATTCCAGACCACAGTCCTCAGGCCAGTTTAGTCTTCCTAACCCCAGCAGGGTCCTTATCTCTTTTGGATCATGACAGAGTTTGTCCATGAACGTGCTCTTAACTTACAGTTAAGTATTATGGCGCTTGGCCTGGCCCATTTCGATGCCATGGTAGCTCACAGCTTGCTGTGAGTCCATTCAGTCCCTGCTTTTGGGGTGCTAGGAACTAAGGACAACTGAGTTGAGAAAGCAGATATCCAGAAGCGAATATTATTTGGAGTCAATTCCCAAGTTACAAAAGCATAATATTAACTGTCTTCCTGTGTCCATACAAAAAAGGACATTGGTTTAAGGTAAACTATGCAAAAGACATAACTTACAATACAAGTTCAGTGTCCTTAGAAGGATCTGATCTTACAAGTTAATAGAATCTGATTAGAGAAAAAGGTGATTAACTGGTTGGGAATGAGAGCACAGAGAAGAGTTTACAGATAAACAAAGGAATGGGAGTGACTGGGGGGCACTGTGATGGGTGTAACCCCATAAACCTAAGTTCCCTGCGGCAAGGTTGAAAGGACAAACCAATGTTATCCTATACTTGATTATTTTATTTAATGACTTATGTATCCATCTGTTACTATTATTATTATTATTGATATTAGTTTGGGGGGGCTACACCGAGCTGCACTCAGAGCTACTCCTGGCTCTATGCTCAGAGGTCACTCCTGGCAGAATTTAAGGGTTTTTGGGGTTTGTATGTGGTGCCAGGAATTGAGTCCCGGGTCAACTTCATGCAAGGTAAACATGTTATATGCTGTACTATCTCTCCAGACCCTGTATCTATTATAGAGAATAGGCTCATTTCTTTATTAGTTCTAATGCTTCTTTTTTTGACTTTTAAAAAACTTTATTTATGTGGTAGGGCATTTGCCTTGCACGCAGCCAACATAGCCAACCCAAGTTCGATTCCTCCACCCCTCTCGGAGAGCCCGGCAAGCTACTGAGAGTATCTCGCCCGCACGGCAGAGCCTGGCAAGCTACCCTTGATGTATCCGATATGCCAAACACAGTAACAACAAAGTCTCCAATGGAGACGTTACTGGGCCCGCTCGAGCAAATCGATGAACAATGGGAGGACAGTGACAGTGACAGTGACGTTCTTTAAAGAACTGTGATTTACAAAGTTATTTATAGTTGGGTTGTAGGAATATAATATTTTGACAACAATCCCACCATCAGTGTCAACTTCTCTCCACCACTGTTTCTATACTCCATCCCCACCCCACCATTCTTGCCTGCCACACTGATAGACAGACACATCACAAAGTTCAGTGGTTGCAGCTTAGATCTCTTGTTTTCAGTGTTGTTTAATCTGTGATTTGGATAAATAATTATACCACTCTCCCACATCATCAGTATAACCAATGTCCCTGACAGAAATATGGAATGCTTCACAAATTTGTATGCCATCCTTGCACAGGGGCCATGCTAATCTTCTCTGTATAGTTTCAATTTTAGTATATGTGCTGTTAAAGCAAGCACTCTAATGCTTCTTCTAATGCCTGTGTTTGAACTTTTGTCTTTTGTCTTCTGTTTCCTTTAAATTTGCTTTGAACTTTTAGAGTTAGATGCTCATTAATGTAATTTTCCTTTCTTTTTAAATAAAAGTATTTAAGGCTATAAACTTTTCTCTGACCATTAATTTTACTGTATCCATACATTTAAATATGTATTATCTTCATGACTACCCTTACCGTCTAGAAATTCAGCAGATTCCGTTTTACATTTTACTTTAATTCAAGAGTTGTTTGATAGAAAGTATTACAGATTCATATGTAAGATCTATTTTAAATCAGGTTATATTTTTATCCAGTTGTGATCAAAGTGATTGTATTAGTCCTACGTTTTTAATCTATTGGAAATTTTCCTTTTGGTGTTAATGTTGTTTGTCTGAGAGTCTATCCTTATTCCAATACCATAATGCCATAATGATCAAAACAGCATGGAATAAACTTTTAGACCAATGGGCCAGAAAAGAATATACAAGTATAAACTCCCACATATATGGTCAGCTAATTTTTGACAAAGGTGCTGAGAGCATGAAATGGAGTAAAGACAGTCTCTTCAACAAATGATGTTGGCAAAACTGGATAACCGCATGTAAAAAAATTAAAACTGGATCCATATCTGACACTTTCCACCAAAGTAAGTTAAAAGTTTAATCAAGGACCTTAAGATCCAAATATATAAAATACATTGAAGACAATATAGGCAGAACACTCCAAGATCTGGACTTCAAAGGTATCTTCAGTGATACAATGCTGCTGGCAAAGGTGACAGAACCAAAAAACAAATGAGACTACATCAAATTATGTAGTTTTTGCATGGCAAAAGAAGAACAGACTAAAAAAGCAGCAAACTGAATGAGAGAAAACATTTGCAGCCAACACATCAGGTAAAGGGTTGATATCTAGGATATATAAATTACTAACAAAGATCAGCACTGTCGCACTGTCGCACTGTAGCACTGTAGCACTGTCCTCCCATTGTTCCTCAATTTGCTCGAGCAGGCACCAGTAACACCTCCATTGTCAGGCTTGTTGTTACTGTTTTTGGCATATCGAATATGCCACAGGGAGCTTCCCAGGCTCTGCCATGCAGGGGGGATACTCTTGGTAGCGTGCCGGGCTCTCTGAGAGGGATGCAGGAATCGAACCGGGGTTGGCCACGTGCAAGGCAAATGCCTTACCCGCTGTGCTATCGCAAAGATCAGCAACAGAAAAAATAAAACTTCTTCAAAAATGGGGAAAGGAAATGAGTAGGAAATACTCTGAGGAAGACCAACAGATGGACAACAGGCACATAAAAAATGATCATCATGACTTATTGTTAGGGAAATTCAAATCAAATCAAGTTCTTAAAAATGAGTTCTTAAAAGGCCCTCCCGTTGATCGTCGATTTGCTCGAGCGGGCCCAGTAACGTCTCCATTGGAGACTTTGTTGTTACTGTGTCTGGCATATCGAATACTCTCGGTAGCTTGCCGGGCTCTCCGAGAGGGGCGGAGGAATCGAACTCGGGTCGGCCATGTTGGCCGCGTGTAAGGCGAACGCCCTACCCGCTGTGCTATTGCTCCAGCCCCAAATCAAATTAAAATCCAAAATAATAAGGTACCACCTTATGCCAGTGAGAGTGACACATATCAAAAATAATTGGAATAATCTATGTTGATGGGGTTTGTGGAGAAAAAAAGAACACTCATCCACTACTGTTGGCAATATTATCTGTTTCAACCCCTATGGAAAACGGTATTGAGGGTTCTCAGTAAACTTGAAATTGAGCTGCCCTATGACCCAACAATTCCACTTTTGGCATCTACGTCCAGGACAGAAAAATATTCATTCAAAAGTTTATGTGCACACCATTATTCATTGCAGCCCTCAGTATAATAGCTAAGGTTTGAAATCAACCTAGATGTCCAACAACAGATTAGTGGATCATAAAGGTGTGGACTATAATGCATCTGTAAGGAATTATGAGATCATGCAATTTGCTACAATGTGTATGGAACTGGGAGATTTCATGTTAAATGAACTAAGCCAGTAGAAGAATAAACAAAGGATGATATCACTTATATGTGTGTTTAGATTAACTTGATGAGGGAATTCAGTGGTTTAAAAGGGGATGCTGAAATCACCCTTGGTCCCAAAGCATAGGGAGGAGAAGAAAAAAGAGCTATTGAGGGGTGGGGGTGGAGTGGGGGGAGAAGAGACAGAGAAGCAACAGGCACAAGCATCAAGGTACGTCCATGTTGTTAAGGAATGATAGCACTAAATATCCACAGTGTCAACAACACTGAAATAATGATACCCAAAGTTTAATAACCAAACTTTAAAAGATACTTGTGGAGATGGCAAGCAGGGATGGTGGTGGAGGGGGCAGGGGTAGAGCAAGTAATCTGGGAATACTGGTGGAAGGAAGTTGACACTGGTAGCAGTATTGGTGATGGAACATTGTATGCCTAAATCCCAGCTACAAATATTGTAAATCAAGGTGCTTTAATAAAATAATATTTGGGAACAAAACAAGTAAGATTCAACAACACTGAAAATATGAGATCTAAGCTGCAACCACCAAACTTTATAATGTGCCTATCAAGGTGGTATTTGGTGGGAGGCAGGGATTGAGATGGCAGGTTGGGAGGAACAGGATAGAGCATGGGAACACTGGTGGAGGGAAGTTGACACTAGTAGTGGAATACATATGACTAAAACTAAATTATCAGTAACTTTGTAAATCATGATTAAAAAGAATTAAAAAATAAAATTTCTGTATTCATACTGGTTTTATTGGTGCTGTTTAATCTCTCCTAAAATGCATTAAATATCTCATTTTAGTGTATTTTATTTATCTAGTTTTCCATGCTTTATGTAAATTGCTATCTTATTCCTATCATAAAAATAGTCAATCTTTTTTTCTGTTTTTTTGGGGGGAGGGGGGTGTCACACCTGGCAGTCCTCAGAGCTTACTCCTGGCTATGCGATCAAGGGTCACTTTTAGTGGGCTCAGGGGACCATATGGATTGCTGAGGATTGAACCCAAGCCAGCTGTGTGCAAGACAAGCGCCCTTGGGTCCCAAAATAGTCGTAACCTTTGGCCAGAGATATAACAACAACGGAAGGTTCATTTCCTGGCACCACATGTGGTCCCCCAAAGTCCTGCAAGGGACCACATGAGCATAGAGCCAAGAGTAAGCCATGAAAAGCATCATGCTAAGCGAAATGAGTCAGAAAGAGAGGGATAGATATAGAAAGATTGCATTCATCTGGGGAACATAAAGTAACAAAATAGGAGACTAACACCCAAGAATAGCCGAAATAAGTACCAGGAGCTTTACTCCATGGTTTGAAGGCCAGTAACACATGCTAGGGGAAAAGGCAGCTCAGATAGAGAAGGGAGCACCAAATAAAGGGTATTGGGAGGATCCTCCTAGGAAGGGAAAAGCATGCTGAAAGTAGACTATAGACCGAACATGATTGCCACTCAATGCCTCTTTTGCAAACCACAGCACCCAAAAGGAGAGAGAGAACAGAGGGGAATGCCCTGCCACAGAGACAGGGTGGGATGGGGGGGGATGGGAGGGGAGGGATACTGAGATCCGTGGTGGTGGAAAATGGGCACTGGTGGAGGGATGGGTACTTAATCATTGTATAATTGAAACCCACGCACAAAAATTTGTAAGTATACAACTGTACCTCTTGGTTTGTCACTAATAAAAATTAAAAAAAAGAGTAAGCCACGAACATAGGTGGAAGTAGTGCAACTCCCCCCACCCCAATCATAACCTTCATTGTGAATTGTAGTAATTTTACCTCAGTTAATGACTTTTTGTCATAATCTATTCTGACATACTTTAGATATACAGAAAAGTTGAAAAGATTTTTATATGCCCTACTAGCTACCTCCCATGGTAATATTTTTATTACATTTCTCAAAAGTAATAGGTTAGTAGTAGTATATTGATTTCCCTCATGTGTGGTTTATAAAGAAGCAAAGTGAGGAAATAACAAATACTCAAGGTTAACAAACTGAGACTTGGTCTTTAATAGGAAGCATATCACTGTAGGGTGGACAGGGGATGCTGAGATGATGGGAGATAGAAAGGTACAGGGGACACTGGGACAATGATGGAGGGAAGCTGGTTTTGGTGGAAAGTGTGATGTTGAAGTTTTTTTATGCAGGAACCCCTGCCATTATCAATATTGTAAATCTGGGTGCCTAAAATTAAAATTTTGAAAACTAAAATTTAAAGCACTAAACTTTTCCTCTAATGACAAAAAACAGTACATCTTTGTGTCTATTGGTTTTATCACTCCTTTCCATTTTTACACCTTTCATTTCTTTTCTCTTTTTAAAAAGTCTTTTAGTTTTTGTGTCAAACATTAGTAAGAGTCTCTAGTGTTATTTTCAATATTCAGGGAAATTCATTTTAATTTTCCACTTAGTATAAAATATGATATAAATTTGGAATGTAGCCTTCATTAATTTAATAAATTTGTAAATTTGTGTTCTATTCCTGGCTTGCTAAATTTTATTATGAGCTGTCATATAAAACATTCTTTATTCATTAATTGAAATAATCATATGATTTTCTCCTTTAGTCTACTAATGTGCAAATTACATTGGTAGATTTCCTGGGTATAATTACTTCTCTTTGAATTCTTGGAATCAACTCCATTTGCTCATGATATATTTTTAATATACTCTTGGATTTGATTAATGTTCTATTTAAAATCAATATTTAAAGATAATAATTGATGTATAAAGTGAGCTGGGTAGTTTTTACCTTTCTTCTATCTTCTGGAATAACTTGTGAAATTCCCTTGGAGTCTGGCATACTGAATTTATAAGACTGTGTAAGTTTGGATGAGGTCATTGCCTCCAACCATTACCATTTTGGCTTCATTAATACTTAGTGAACTGTTCTACTTCTTCCTATAACATTTTAATTTTTTATGGCTTTCTAGGAAAATAACTTATCTAA